GAAAAAGTATAAAACATTTTAAATGTACGAACCCAGACTGAAAAGGGCACGCTTTTCTTTTTGACTTTCTACCACATATTCATTGTTTTGTTTGTTTATTCCCTGTACATACTGTCATTATTTCATTCACTGTATTGCAATGTACTGTCTACATTGTGTGGTGTTATCTGTTGTCCTGTGTTGTCTGCTGTACTGTGTGTGCCCTGAGGGAACAGAGCAAGTAAGAATCCCATTTTAAATGTACATATGGCAATAAACTATTTTATTTGAATGTAAGGTTAATTGTTGTATAAAGCAAGAAAATACAAATACATTCTGTACAAATGTTGCCAATTTTGCTTTTTTTTTGCATTTTCTTTGTGCAAATTATGTGATGTATTGAAAGAGTCTTATGAATAAAAGGTATCAACTTTCAAGTGTTTTGTAGTAATTTGAAGGTGTTTAAATCTGTCTGTGTTGTAAATGAATGTCAAGTTTTTGAACAGAAAGATTTTTCTTTATTTTGCTTCATGCTCTTACAGAAATGACAACCTGTCCATCCTCAACGTAAGGTTTGCACAAAGCCCTGCAAGGCAGGCTCCATCTGTAGGCTGTGAGACTGTCTTGGAAATTGTAAACTTGCTCTAGAAACACTGTACAATGTCTATGATTGTTCCACACATTTCCAGAGTGAGAGGGCTGGTGACAGTGAGGGGACTCTGTTTACTCCATTCATTTAGACCGTTTCGTAAATGAACTTGGTTACAACTTCTACACTAGATACTCAAAAGTAAGTATATCACTCATAGGAATTAAATTGATATCAACTCTGTTTTAAGTAACAATAGAATTCTTGAGAATGCAGAAAGTTGAATACTCATCCAATCTGTGTGGATTCAGATCTCCCGCGGACACAAAGAAGCAGTGGCAGGCTTGTTGCGTCCAATCAGCGTCCTCCGGCCCGGTGCCAGGCAGTGCTGGTTTGGCGTGAGAGAAGGAGAAGGAGGGAGAGATTCCTGCTGCGACATGTTGGTAGTGGGCTCTCTGAAGACCGGCTAGTTAGTTCTGGCTTTATTAGCATGAGTTGGTGCACATGGAAAGTGACTGCGGGTCCAAGGAAGTCACACTCTTTAGACGGGAAGAAGACCGGTTCATTCCCGATGTAGCGCTAGTCCTGAATCCTGAGATTCAGCTGTCCACAGTTCAGACCGTAGTTCACTTGTTGATCAGGTGAAGGTTTCCGTGGTGGGTTCACGAGGCTTGCTGCTGAGCTAACCTTGGGTGGATCTGTTGGTTACACGCTGGCAACCTCCATTCTCGACTCTTAGAACAAAGTAAAGTCCTGGCACCCGGACACACTGGCTGTTACGTGATTGTCCGAGATGAGTATGAGAAAGTCCTGCAGGAGCACTGGAGGAGCCCTATGCTGCCTGTTTTACCTGGAGGAACTACGGTCATTCATTGGTTGAAAGTTCCATGGGCATTCGAGACCCACGTGGGGTTACCCTGCCCTACCAGTTCCTGATTGGCTGATTGAGGCGGAGGATGAGTAACAAAGCTCTCTGACATTAGGGTTGTAAACCTTAGGATGAGACTCTCCCTTGGAATCTCCCAGACAGTAAGGCGCCAGAGATGACCCTTTATTATGGCGGCTGGAGAATCTCAGCCTTGGGAGTTG